AGCGCCGTGGCATTTGCAGCTACGCCGTGTCACGTAGCGTGCTAAGCACTGCAAATAGAAGGGCTCTGATGACAGCAAGCTTACCTAGTTATAAATACTTGGGTTCTGGACAACGAGGGGTTCCCAGCGCCAAGCGGCCGAAAAGTGCCACGTCTGATTAAATGCTCTATATTTGGATGATGACTGAAGTAAATCATTCAGTTACTGGAACACTAAAACCCTATAAACACCACTCAAAGCTTCGTATATTGGCTGTAAAGAAAAGGAACACGGTAGGAGATGTAATAAGATCCCACCTTAACATCAGTAAGTATATAAGAATAAAAAATTGAAAAGAGAGGAATGCTAGAATGTAGTTTATTGCCAGCGAGAATTTAAAGCCAACTTCACACGAATAACACCTTCAATTACAGTGTAAGCCACAAGCTTTCAAACCACTGGAGTGCTTTCAGCAGCTCTGTAGTTACACAGCCTTACAAAATTCAAGGCTCTGCTAATAAGACACGGTTGCTTGTGGGTGTATCAGTTCAATGGGCAAAACGAAACAACTTCTGGGAGTTTGTACCCATAGAGGGGATTCTAAGTGCAAGTATGAAAGAAGCCTGCTCAGAAAGAGATGCCCGCTTTTAGTTGTTTTGAGAAGTTGCTGTTGCCTCGTATGTCCATTTGCACGAGCCCTGCGCAGGCACATTGGGCACGCTGAAAAAGTGAGGGCACATGAAATACTGAAATGCATCTGTTCAGATGAGCCATGTTTACAAATCTTCACTGAGATCCCCTGCAACTACGCTGTTAAGAAAATACTGGTATTTGGAGGGTGAGTCAGCACCTAGAAATCGAAATCCGAAAACAGCTCTCAGAATCTTTGCTCGGATGCTTTGTCAGTTTATGCAACACTTCCCTTGACCTCTCCAGTAGGTGAAACGCTGCAGCTCAACTTCAGTATGTTGACCTTTCTCAGAGTGCTTGGCAAAAGCCCAGGGTCAGCTTGAATTTCTTTAAGAGTCTCTGCACAGTATTATTTCATGTCAGTCCACATCTTCTAGAAGAAAAAACCAAGGTGCATTCACACAGCAAATGTCCGTACGGCCTATTCAGAGGAAATCAATTTTCCTAAGATGCATGTTTTTGTTATCAGCTTACTTTATCCTCAGCTTTACTGCTGGTGATTTTTAGTCACTTATCTTGAAATGCTTTTAATAAGGAGTAACTTCTAAAAATCTGTAATTCTTACAATATTTCATGAGGATGCCACAGCATAGCATATCTGTGACACAGGAAGTGACTTGCACAGCAAACAAACTTAAGTCAAACTTCTGCTTACATTTGCATTCTCTCCTTCAGGTAAAGTTTCTTCAGTTTATAGCTTCATTGTTCAGAATTGTGTTTATTTACTGTAAAGTTGCCACATTCACATCTGGCACTAATTGTACCTCATTATCTTAGAAACTGTGCAATTTCCTTCACAGACCTTACATCTGCTGGGCAGACACAACAAACTGCTTTACCCCATCCTGCTCTGCTGGAGACAGCAGTGTTGGCATTGCCATCACCCTCTGTCGCTACAGACAGACCCCTAGCTTGCTCTGGTACACTGAAAGACTAAGCAGATGTTCGTTTGTTTTTCAACAAAATAAAACTATAGAAGAACAAAAGGGAACTGCTGACAACATCAAGGCTTTCAAAATTCTTTGAGAAATAAGAACTTTATCCATTCCCTGGAAAGAAAAATATTTGAATATCAAGGCTCTGAAGTAATGTGGCCAGGATTGGGTTATTCTGGATAGATTTTATTTCAGTATTTAAAATGTAAAAGGATCTTTCACTGATCCTACAAGTCATCTTGTGGAGTCAGTTCTCCCTGGTTTGGGGTTTAGGGTGTGTTTTCTTTGATGGCAGGAGAAACTTGCCTATTCTAGCATTTAAGGAGTATATTAGAGCAGATTTTCAACAACCTGAAATATAAAACTTCAATTCTTGGCTAAGTAACATCAGTTATTAGGCTGAGATTGTATTTACCAAAGTGCTTCTTTTTTTACCTTAAAAATGCTTTTTTAAAATAAGCCAGACAGCAAACTGTAATAAACAGATTCTCACCAGTTAATTGCATTTAATTTATTCTGCAAGTCTGCTTTTGCTCTTTTCAAGGCCTTACATAGTTCTCTCTTTCAAGGATACAGTTGTCAAGGCTAATCTACAATATCTAATCCTTCATATTTACTCAAAAGTAATGATTGTTATAATTATTCCTCACAAATCCCTGTTTGTTTTTTGGGCCCTTTCCAAGAAGCTTAAAAAGAAGGCTTCATATTAACCTTTAACTACAAACATTTAGCAGAAAACTCTAGAGAACACTTATTTTTAATATTCAGCAAATAGCTAAGCTTAAGTAAAGAAGTGAAACTGAAGTTGGCCCGTCAGATTCCAAGAAAGGCAAGCATTAGTAGGCTCTTTGTACTTGACTTTTTCAGATTCAAAACTTAAAGAACAACCACCAACAGTTACTGGTTTCCACCTGAGATGATCCAGGAGTATGCCACAAATGTCTGGTGAAAACTGCCCTTTAGCACTACCTTCTGGGCTTTAAAAGAACACTGAAACTCCAGGGAAGTGACGGCTGACTATTTGCTGCACATTTCTGGTTTCGGTAGAATAACTACCAGCACTTTGAAAAGCAAAATTAGCTTTATTGTTATAAATACAGTTATATTCATTTGTCTGTTAACGAGTTAATAAACTGTTCATGGTCTAGATTTATAGCATTTGGAAGTCATATCCAATATCCACACTGACCCAGGCTTGCCAGCTGCATGGAAATGTGTACTGCCTGTAGTTGTAGGGTCTTGCATTTGCTTCCTGGACCACATGCTGACCCTCAGTATGACCAGATTAAAGCAAACTGGATGAGAAAGTGATAACCTGGGCCCAGAAGCACCTGCTCAATACAGCAACAGGGACTTTGGGTTCCTGGATAAAATCCCTCACAAGTTTTCTTCTAGACAAATGGGAGAATTCACCTGCTGCAGTAAGGAGCAAAATAGCAGGTGGGAGGGAGAAATGGTTTAAGAAAAGATGTGTGAAACATTTTGTAAAAGATCACTGGTCTCCACACTTGCAGGGAATGACAGAGACAAGTTGTGTTGTTTGTTTAGAAGCAGATTTAGAACGCAATTGAAATTAAGGGGAAAGGCTAAGAAGTTTCAATTATAACATACCATTAAAAATTAATCTTTTTTTTAAAGAGAATGTAAAATACAGTTCTGTTAGAAAAACTGAAATTACTTACTAAACTGTGTTTAGGACTAAAAATACCAGAATAAAGACTTGCAGTGCAAAAAAAGGAAAGACAAGGAGACTGGAACAATGTTCTACAAACCAGGGGGGTGCTGAGGAGCACTGAGTGTGTTAGAATTTCACTGGGACAAGGTCCTCTGGGAAGAAGAAAGAAAGCCAAAACAAAAAACAGGCAATGTACTAGAGTCAGTTTTGCCTTGAAGAACTTGTAACTCTCAAGGAGAAAGTAAAAAGAGACAGACTGGTGTGTAGCATTGTTTTCTTCAACTTGTTAACATAGAAAGGAATTTTATGAAGAAATTCTTTCACAGACAAGACACTGGAGAGAATTTAGATATTAGAGATGAAAATAAGTTGTTTCGTGGTAAACTACTATTTATGGGACATTAAAAAAAAGAAAATAGAGCAGTAAGTTGCAAGGTCTAGAAATTTACTACAATACAATAAGAAATGGAGGCCTGTAGGAATATGTACAAAAAAGAGAACTAAATGTATACAGGTGACACTGGAAAATTGTTAAAATAAATTATGATTTATGGTGACATTTGGCAAAGTTGTACTCCATAGAAATTTTATCTTCATTCACCTGAGAAAAAAACCCAGGTTTTTGGATATGCACCTTAAGTATTTAGTGAAGTTGGTAAATTGGCTGTATGTGCAAAGGAAAGATCTGGAAAACCTAAATTCTTTGAAAAATGTAAGCTAATCAGAGAGGAATGAGGGAATGTCAAGATGGATGTTAAGAATTTGTAAGAAATGCTTGTGAAAGAACTAAGGAGCTGTACTCATGCAAACCATTAAAACAATGCCCGAGCACATATCTAAGAGCTCAGTCAAAATGGAAATTAATCTGTTGACTTACTGTGGGGATAAAGAAAACCTTGCCCTGGACACAAACTGTGAAAATAACTATGTCAGGTCCTGAAGGGAATTCCTGTTTACCAGCCATGGTCAATGGGGAAAATTTTCAAGACGGGAGTTCAAGGAGTTGAGCCAGAGTTGAGCCAGAATCCCTTGTTTTCAGCTGAATTAAAAAGCATCAAGATAATCCTGTTAGATGATGTGTTTCTGTTAAATAATTACAAACTGTTGCAGCACCTACACCTCAGAACTATGGTGAGACTTTAAGAATTTGAAGCTAGTTAGGTTTTTTTGTCATAGATACACACTGCACTCATGGAACTACTGTGTTGGATCAGCAAAAGTTCAGCTGGGTGAACATCCTGTTGATGATGGCTATCAGGGATACATATCTAGGAAAAAGCTGTAAAAGCATGGCAAGAATATAATAATGAGTTCCTGGAACTCTGATTCATAGTCTTGGGGATATCCTGAGAGATAATTTATTTCCTAA